TGAGTTATACATCAGCATTATCAGTTGGTTTCGCAGTGGTGTTTGTGGCAATAACAGCAGGAGTTACCATTGTTAAGTTGATGGAAGGAAAAATTGGAAATGCCTCGTTTAATGCCAAAACTTGATAATCAAGCATCGTTTTGGAAGCTTTTCATCACTGTTCCTGTTCTAGTCACTGCTTATATATGCCATCATAATAGTAAGTCATGGAAGATTAATTGTTTCTATATTCTTCTGTACTTCCAACTCCCGAAATCATTTATTATCATAATTTAGTTTTGTTTAATAGTTGGTTTAAGTTAATTTTCATCCAATTTGCATGAAACTGGTTTATGTTTTAATTGATACATAAAACTCCGCGAAGATCAAGTGATCCATTTATGGTTCAACATTACATAAACTAAAATTATGCACTATCATTTAAGAACGTTAGTATTTTGATGTTAGCTATCATATGGTGTATTCTTTGACAAATTTTTTGTTTATGAAAAGAGGAGAGATTCAGTTTATATTATTTAGTACGAGTTCCTTTGAAATAAAGGTTCAGACTTTCAAGTACCCTGCACAGCTCTCATGCTTGAGTAGCAAAAGATTGTTAAATTCTTATTGTATGATTGCTTGCAATAATCCCCCCCTTTTTGTATTGGATACACTTGCAGTACTCCCAATCGAGAATGAACTGAAAGACCCTACACAGATGAAGTTAATTGTTAGAAAGTCCCTCATATTTTGCACTGCTATCTACATTACTACTAGCTTCTTTGGAGTCCTCTTTGGAGATCATATTTTGGATGATGTGCTTGCCAATTTCGATGCTGATCTTGGGATTCCGTATAGTTCATTGCTCGATGATTTGATCAGACTGAGCTATTGCCTTCACTTGATGCTTGTTTTCCCAATTGTGTTTTTCTCCCTTCGTCTCAATGTAGATGGTCTGTTATTTCCGTATGCCGTTCCTATTGCCATTTCTAAAAGGCGTTTAGTCTCAACTACAGTTGCTCTAATGGGTTTCATCTTTACGAAAGCCAACTTTATTCCTAGCATCAGGGATGCTTTCCAGTTCACCGGTGCAACTGCCGCAGTTTGTGTTAGTTATATCTTTCCAGCTGCCATCACCCTTCGGTGAGTAATAGTTTACATAAGCACGTTTTGTTGAATACGGAGTTATCAATGGTAATGCATGCTAAATGGTAGAGGACTGTATGCTTATATCAGAGTAGAATACATGAAATCTAGTAGTGAAGCTCATTGGCCCTAACTAGAGCTTCTTGGGGGAAGATATTGTTATCCATAGGATAGCACGAGTGAAATTAGAACCCAATCGAAGAAAATAACAAAACTTGCATTTAATAAACATGGGTTTTTATCATCAACAACCTATTTTGAAACATGGTAATCAAGTTATTAATGGTTTCTAATATGCATTTTATGCAGGGACACCCATGGAATTGCAACCAAGAATGATAGACTAATATCATGGATGATGATCTTCCTTGCTGTCTCAACAAGCACAGTGGCTGTGATAAGTGACATTTATGCCTTTTTAGTGTTGACAAAGGATTTTTAACCTAATTCTATTCAAGGGACTAGTTTATATCCCATTTTACTCGATCATTGCATTGCCGAAACACGAGCTAAGGTGCAAGCAAATAATCTGGGTTTCTTTCTTGCAGTTTATCCTCTAGGCTGAGTTGAGAAAGGGGATCTGTATATGAGCTTGCCGTGAGAAAGTGGGACATTTCCAACATATCAGTGGGTTTGATATGACCTTTACGATGTAATTCAGGTGATTTAGCTGTTAGTTCTTGATACTTTAGAATAGTGCAAATAGGAACATTCTAAATATTTCATATCACGAAATTATAGTCATACTTCAATGTCTCATTGTTGGTGTCTGAATTTATCAATGGTTGAACCTATGAATCATTGGTGATCTAAATTTAGTCAAACGTACATCAGATTATATACTCAAATGCCTTAACCCAATTTTATTAGTTACTTTCTAAGCTCAAACAATAGGTCTAATGATGTTTTGTTCCTTGAACATTCCAGAGAGTTATTTTAGTCTTTTAATCTTTTAACTTTCAATTTTTTAATACATTGTCGAAGTGAATTAACTGACGAAAAAAAGGTAACTTTCTCATTAAGTTAGCATAAGTTATTTTGATATTAAATTAACATAAGTTTAAACCCTCTATATTAACAATTACTAGATCATGTAATTCTATTAATTTAAACCTGCACTAATTAATTGATAAATTAATAATTTATTAATTTAAAAAGTTTTTTTATTCAACAAACCTATATTATTCTTTATGAATAAAACATATGCATTGTATTGATTAATTGGATGGTGTTCATGTACAATGTGAATAATTAAATATAATATATGCCCCTAAAAAAACAAAGTTCATTATACCTAGTACTAGTTAAACTTAATGCAAGTTAATGAATGGTAAGAAAATCAAGCACTAAATAAACAACATCAAACATTCATAATACGTCAATCCAAATCAAAGTCAATCAATCATGACTTCAAATCTAAAAGGAGTTTGAAAATCAACTATGACAGATCAAATACGTAAAGCACTATGTAAGTATAAGAAAACTCACCCCACATATACTCAAAAATATTTACAACAAGGTTTGATGAAAATTTTCATTTAAAAGTTAGTCAATGTACAATATCAAACACACTCAAACGGTTATCTGAGTACATTTCGACATACATGGAAAAAGGAGGGGATACCAAGCGACACACCTACAAAATATCCAGAGATGAAGGTTTTTTATGAGTTGTTTCTTCAATATCAAGAACGTGTAAACATGTCCTAAGAGCTAATTTTGGAGAAAGTAAGAGAGAAGATGAAAGTTATATACCCTCAACAACCTCCCGAGTTGCACAAATTTTCTAGAATCATAATTTACTAAGTTTTTTTAGTTATATTTGTAATTTTATAAAATTATTAATTTATAATATTGAACGAAACATAAATTTATATAAGGTATTTCAGAAAAATTATTATTTTATTAATTTATTGAAATTATTAATTTAGGCTTTGGGCCCAAGTCGAGAATGAAACAAATATTATTTTAGAGAGATTATTAATTTACGATTTTATATGTTATGTTAATACTATTGTTCTTTTCTGTAAAAAACAAAAAATATTTAAAATTGACAAATATTACAAATTTGTGAAAAAAAATAAAAGAATTAAAAATTGTAGGACTTATATAAGAATATTAAAAATGTTAAATATATTTGGGGGAAAATTAAATAGTTGATGTCAATTTAACAAAAATTATTATATTTTTATTAATCGGTTATTTTTATGATAAAAAGACCATAATAAAATTAAGAGCTAAATATAAATCTTCTGAAAGATTAGAGGGTAAAAAATGTCATTAAACCTAAACAATCCATCAATAAAACTTTTGCTAGATCATTATCCATAAACTCAACCCATACCATTCTTGGACAAGTGATAAACTACAACACGTGATTTTTATTTTCTTTATAGTAATCGATATTTTATCTATTAATCGATTAATATAGATGTATATTATAGAGGTAAAAATAATTCTCCTAACCTAGTTTACTTCATTCACAAATATCAAAATTCAAATCATTAACTTTACTTAAAGGATATAGTGTCTCGTCTCACTGAACTAACTAACTTACAATGGTTTCTATATCCAATATAATATATCAATATAAATGCTAAATCATATATAAAATTTAAATTTAAATTCAATTTTCGTTATTTTTTTTATCATAACTATCAATATAGTTTCGCTTTTACTATTACATATTGCAAATACAAATGTTTATATTTATTTAATATAAATGTATAGATATATTAATTTAATTTATTTAAATTTATTTTTACCTAATTAACAATTATAATAAAAAATATATATTCATATACTATTTTGTATTTAAATTTGTAATGATTTAATTTTATTATTTTTCCAAATTAATAATTAAATAAATTAATAATTTAAAATTATTTTATATTATTCATTAAATTAAACTAAAAATATTATCAAATTTATCATAAAAAATCTTATAAAAGGAAGTCAAATTTAAAGAAAAAACTTGAAAATTTTGGGAGAGGTAAGCATAAAATATATATTAATTATAAAGATTAAATTAGAATTTCAATATTCTTATAAGGGCTAAAGCGAACTTTGTCAAATTGGGGAGGGGGCAAGACCGTCAGGCCCCTTTAAATTTATCCCTGCCAATGAAACTTGGAAATTTCAATTCAATATAACTAGTTACTCCAGTAATAACAGGGGACTTGTTGCTATTTTAAGCCTATCAATGGGGGACATTAATTAACGCTCATTACCCGTTAACCTTTTTCAATTCTCCTCTCAGAAACAACCAACAAAAGGTTTTTACAGGCGGTAAAAAATCTTTGTTTTTACCGCACTGTAAAATCTCATCCCCTTGGTCTTTTTCCTTCAAATTTGAAGTCTTAGGGTTCATATTATTAATTATTGTTATAATTTACAGGCCGTTGCTCAGAATTATCTAAATTTATTGGTGAAAAGAGCAGAAAAATACCAAACAATACAAAATCTGACATTGTCCGAACAACATAAAGTTCTATATTTTTGTTAAGGTTTTCTTTGTAAAATTATGAACGTAATCCTCTGTATGAGTTTGTCAGTGGCAATGGCATCTCTTTTACCAAACTTAGAAGCAGCAATTTAGATTACGATTGTGATTTTGGTTACAATTGTATTATATTTATTGTGAATGCAGACGTATCAGATGTAATAACGATGATAGTGTTATGGTTATATAACAATCGTCATTCGTGTTTAAAAATCTGCTTGGAAGCGCCTCTTTGAAACCCAAAGCTTTTCCCCTCTGCTTTTGCCATGATTGAGAAGGAGTGATGCCCAGGCTTGCTTCTTTAGCTCCTTCGTTTATCATCTCATAAAATTGTTAAAATTTTAGCCTTTTCTAAAATTTTATCCCGCATTTTCGATTTTCAACAATGGCGCCGTGGTGGGGGAAGGGCAGCCATAAAGCAACCTCCGTGGTTGTCAAAATGGAAAACCCGAACTGGTCAATGGTGGAACTCGAAGCTCCTTCGAAAGACGATTTCCTCATCGCCAACTCACCGTCCAGTCCACGAGAAAAAAGGCGCGGAAAAAACGTCAAGCAACTCACTTGGGTCCTCCTCTTAAAAGCGCACCGTGCCGCCAGTTTCTTAACCTCCATTGGCTCCACATTGGTCAGCCACTGTTCAGTTGTCCGTCGCCGTGACGCCTCCGGACGAACTGACGAAAACAGAACCGTTAGAACCGGTTTCTATAACTCCATTAGACTGTTCCTCGGGTTATCACTGTTGCTATTGGGTTTCGAGATTGGCGCGTTTTTCAAAGGTTGGCCGCAACTTCATTTACAATATATCCTGACGTTTCCCCTTGGTGTTAAAGAAATGTTGGATTGGTTGTATGACGGTTGGGTTTTGATTGTGGCCGATTATGTCTCCCCTCCTCTTCAGTTTCTCGCCAATGTTTGCATCGTGCTCTTCCTTGTACAAAGCTTGGACCGGTTAATTCTCTGTTTGGGTTGTTTTTGGATCCGGTTCAAGAAAATCAAACCAATCCCCAAGAATAAAGCTGTTGCAGATCTTGAATTTGGGGCTGACACCTTCTTCCCTATGGTTCTCATTCAGATCCCTATGTGTAATGAAAGAGAGGTAAACCCAACCAAAAGAACCACATTGTTTAATTATGACTTAAAATTTAATATTTTTGAAGCTTCGTTTGCAGGTTTACCAACAATCTCTAGCTGCAATTTGTAATTTGGAGTGGCCAAAGTCGAAAATTTTGATCCAGGTTTTGGATGATTCCGATGATCCAATGGCTCAGTTGCTTATTAAAGAGGAAGTGCATAAATGGCAACAAGTAGGTGCCCAAATTCTGTATCGGCACCGTGTGATTAGAGATGGCTATAAAGCCGGTAATCTTAAGTCTGCCATGAGTTGTAGCTACGTCAAAGACTACGAATATGTCGCCATTTTCGACGCAGATTTCCAGCCCGCTCCCGATTTCCTCAAACGAACCATCCCCCATTTCAAGGTAAGTGAATATAACTGCCTTTGATTGTGATTTGGTTGAAGTGAAATCTTGTTTTTGGTTATGTATGTTGCAGGATAATGAGGAACTAGGATTGGTTCAGGCAAGATGGTCTTTTGTGAATAAGGACGAGAACTTGCTAACAAGATTGCAGAACATAAATTTTTCATTTCATTTTGAGGTAGAACAACAAGTGAATAGCGTTTTCATTAATTTCTTCGGGTTTAATGGGACTGCTGGAGTGTGGAGGATTAAGGCTTTGGAGGAATCCGGTGGTTGGCTGGAGAGGACTACGGTTGAAGACATGGATATCGCTGTCCGAGCCCATCTTCGAGGATGGAAGTTCATCTTCCTCAATGATGTTAAGGTATAACTCTAGTTTAATCTATAACATCGGTCGTTGAACTCATCTGCTGTTTGCTTTCTCGATCAGTAATCGAGGTTTTCAGTCTTTTGTTATCTTTTCAGTGTCCGTGTGAACTTCCTGAATCATATGAAGCTTATAGAAAACAACAGCATAGATGGCACTCTGGACCAATGCAGTTGTTCCGCCTCTGTTTGCCGGATATTATCCATGCCAAGGTGAATGCATTTTTGAACCCCTCTTCGCTTAAACCAACAACGATGGACTTTGATCTTATTCAGTATTTTGATTGGTGCAGATTAGTGTGTGGAAGAAGTTCAATATGATCTTTCTGTTCTTCCTGCTTAGAAAACTGATCCTGCCGTTTTATTCTTTCACTCTTTTCTGCATAATTCTCCCCATGACTATGTTTGTTCCGAAGGCTGAGCTTCCGGCATGGGTTGTCTGTTACGTCCCTGCTATAATGTCATTCCTCAACATCATTCCAGCCCCGAGGTCATTCCCATTCGTTGTCCCATACCTTCTCTTCGAGAATATCATGTCAGTGACCAAGTTCAAGGCCATGATCTCTGGACTTTTCCAACTTGGTAGTGCATATGAATGGATTGTCACGAAAAAATCTGGCCGATCATCGAAAGGTGATCTTGTTTCCCTGGTTGAGGAAGAATCAAAACACCAGCACGGGGGATGCGAATTCAATCTCGATGAAACCAATGCGGATCTTCAGCAAGAACCAATTACCACAAAAATGAAGCATAATAGGATATACACAAAGGAGTTATCCCTTGCATTCCTTCTTCTGGCAGCTTCAGCAAGGAGCCTCCTGTCTGCACAGGGTATCCATTTTTATTTCTTGCTATTTCAAGGGATATCGTTCCTTCTGGTTGGTCTGGACTTGATTGGGGAGTAGGTGTAGGGGTCCGATTAGGAAATGGTGTTGCATTACATGGACGGAAGAATAACTGAAATTTTGACATAGGCACGTGAAAATGGTGATACTGTTCAATACATGTAAGGTTTTGCTGCCTTTTGCTTTTTTGAAAAGAAAGGGGAAAAAAAGGAGGAATTTAGCATCCATTTAGGCAGGGTAGAACACTGATCCCTTTTCCTTCAATCACTAATTTTCATTTGAGCTGATGTTCATTTTTGTAAACTTTAACCATTTTGTGTTGTATTATTTATACAATCTTACCTTTTGCTTCACATTGGTAAGAAAACTGGATTTTGGTAATTCTTGTTTGCCCTTTTCATACTTATCATGTATGTGTTCTATATTAAAATATTTAAGTTAGTATTTTCATATATATTTAAAAAATGAATAATTCGAATATTATAATGAAATCAAACCCAGGGTTTAAAAGCTAAAATCATGTGATAATTACTTCATGGATAAAATTTCATGAAAAGTGAAATTTGAAATTTAATTGAATAGATTTTCAATATATATATTTTTTAAATTATTAGCAATTTCTTTAAATTTGGTAACTATATTTAAATATATTTAGGGATGCCAGGTTGGAAATAGGAAAAGAATCGCCGTTTTTCTACAAGTGCCTATGCTCGTAGGTTGGGTGAACCGGCCGGGGGAGCGAATGAAATATGGAGAACTGTATCTTCTTTTAACGGTCTACCAAAAGTTAGAATGCTCCTTTGGTTGATCTTCCATAACCGGCTAATGAAAAATGAAGAAATGGATCTGCAACGTTGGGTTCGAACCAACCTTCATATTTACCGATTAATGGCTATAATTCGGATGTTCTCTTTGGGTCGATACTTTGGAAACATTTTCAAGCTTGATTTTGTCGAAACAGAAATTGTTGTTCATCGGGGTAGAAGAATGTGTGAGGAGGCTGCTCAAGTTCAGATAGCTTGTGAATTGCATAAATTTAGACCTTTGAGTTTCTCCCATTACTTTTCTGTTTGGAGGCCACCCGAGCAGGGTTGATTCAAACTCAATGTTGATGGCGCCAGGAACTTATCAACGGGACTGGCAACTTGTAGGGGTGTGGTGAGAGACTCCGGTGGCAACTGGATAAGGGGTTTCTTTCGTGCTCTTGGTTGCTGCTCTGTGATTGACGCTGAACTCTGGGGCATACTCAAAGGTACGTTGCTTGGGAATTGGGTTTAACACAGGTTGTGATCGAAACTGATAACAAAGAGGTTTTCGATCTTCTTGCCAAAGCGATGCTATGGCAAAAATTTCTCACATGGTTCCACACTTGGTAGAAACCCTTTTACGTTAATGGTCTCTGAAGTTTACTTATGTTCTGCGATAAGACAATCGTGTTGCAGACGCTATGGTTAAGCTGTCTTGGTTCATATCCTTTGGTCTACACAGCTCTATTCTCCCGCCTCCTACTGTTCGTCAATCGTCATCTTCTAAGTGAATAGCCTGGCTCTAGTATTGAAATTTAACTGATTTGCCACTCCTTTGTATTCAAAAGAAAAATTGCTATATATAATTTTAAATTTTAATATAAAAAATTTTGATATTTATTTGCTCCATAATCTCGTATTCTAGACAAGTCGTAACATCCTCAAAGTAATATAGCTTATAATCTCGTACTATTATTCTTAAATAATCTTAAATTAAGAGTGTAATATTAAATTTTGGACTAAACGTACTCTTTATTTGGGTAAAGTATACAAATGGTCCCCTAATTATAGGGTATTGATTTATTTATCCCTCGACTATTAAAAGTTATAAAATGGTCATTCGATATAGAATGTTGATTTGTTGAGTCCATTGAGTATTAAAAGTTACAAAACGGTCACCCGACTATTCATTATGTTCCAAACTCATCATTTCCATTAAAAAATTGACGATATTCTGAGTTGAACGTTAACCTGCTGAGTGCGATATAATCCTATATTATCAAGTTATCATATCTTAGTCAGCATGTTAACGTACACCTTAGAAAATTGCCAATTTTTTACGAAAAAAGCCGATTTTGTAACATAATGAATAGTCTGATGACAATTTTGTAATTTTTAATAGTCGAGGGATTTAACAAAGTAATATTCTATAGTCAAAGGATAATTTTATTACTTTTAATAGCCAAGGGACTTAATAAAAAGTACCCTATACTCGGAGGACCATTTGTGTACTTTACACTTATTTTATTTACTTTAATCATTTTTCCAAAATAAAAATTAAATCTAATTAAAAATAAGTCTCATTTATTTTCAAAATTTTAATATATAAAAGATTATCATAGTGTAATATGTGCTTTTTTGGTTTGTATACTATGACTATGTATACTCAAAAATTTGGTTAGTGATTAAAATGAATAAATTGAAAGTTTGGTGACTAAAGTATAAAATTGGGAAGTTCAAGGACTAAAATGGAAAATTTTCCAAAAAGGTATTTTATCTTGTGAATGAATAGTTTTTCCCAAGAATGACATTTTTGTGTTATTCGAATTTTTGGTACGAAATTTATGTTAAAGGCTATAAAGCGTTAAAATTCAAGAAAAAAAAATCAGATAATCAAATCAAATTGAATATTTGGATTATTTTGTTAGATGATAAGACAAGGTTAATAATTTCATTTTCATGCCTTAAAATGATAAGATTTAATACGAAAAATTGGATTTAAGTTGATTTCCATGTAAAGTCTAAGTCGTTTGATGAAAATGACAAGATTGAAATTGTGAGATTTTTCAAGGTAAAGTTGATAACTACTGACTACTTGGATCATTTATAGCCCTTGGATGAATATTTTGACACGTGCCAAGATGATGAGAATTATATTTTTAAGGTGAAATGGTCATTCAGATCAAAATGAATTTGAAATTTATTTTAAGCTTTATAAATCAAAAAGGACTCAAATAAAAAAAATCAAGAAAGTTCTCATATTTTCATGTTATCACCGTGAGTCTCCATGAGTGTCAAGTTGTTGTGTAATTGATGTGTGTGACCATCCAAATTCAATCAATATGAATTTAATAACAAAGGAAAGAAAGAGAACTCTTATAAAGCTTTCGGGAAGACAACATTTTGGTTGATATTTAAAGTATCGAGGTGAGTGCATGTTTATGATATATTTATGTTTAATGTAAACATTGGCTTGTGATGAGTTAATGATTGAGTTACTATGGTAAGAAGTGACTCTTGAATATTATATGACTTTCCTTATCTATGCATTTAGGTTAAATTTGTATTAGAAGACTAATAGAATTATTGAATAAGTTAAAGACGCAAAATAGTGAAATCTATCTATATTTTATTGGCTTAAGGGTCACCTTTGTCCCTATAGTAGACCTAATTTATCATTTTTCGCCCCCATCATATTTTTACATCGATTTATCCCTCAATGTTGTTCAATTGCATCATTCTATATCCTACCCCTAACTTAAACCCTAAATCATATACCTTAAGTTAAAATTTAGAGTTTATGGTTTAAAGGTTATGGGGTTATGGTTATGGTTTAAGGTTTAATATTTATAATTTATAGTTATAAGTTAGTGGTGGGTATAGAATGATGCAATTGAGCAACTTCGAGAGATAAATTGATGCAAAAATATGATATGGATTGGGTGTACTTCAGGGGCAAAAGTTCCCTTTTGCCTATTTTATTATATTGAAAGTAGATTTGGAAACTCATCATAAAATTTTATAAAAATTATTAAAATATGATTCTTATGTCGTTGTATTTTTATGTCAATATAGTTTCGATCGAAGACTTATTTCAAAGTGTATATGAGAAGTTATGAAATTTTTATCGATGATAGGTCAGAAAACAGGGCAGTAGAGCCTGATCAAAACAAATTTTGTAAGTTGGATTAGAAAATTCACTATAAATTGTATAAGTCAAACTATAAAGATTTTTTTATATGATTATATTTGTATTCGAATATAGTCTAATGGAACAAACGAAATTAAATTATAGTGAGTAAATTAATACAAAAAAATATTTCTTTAAAGGTAGCGCAAGGTGCCAAAATAAAAAATGATGAATCATGTGTTTTATGTTTCCTTTGTGTTATATGTCATTTTAAATGTTTGAATTAGCCAACTCTATTATATTAGCATGATAATTATGATATTATCATATGATGGACATGTTGTTTATGACCGTTGTTTACATGGTAATTATGAATCATATGAGTTGCATGATAATTATGAATTATATGAGTTGCTAGCCATTTATGACCATTTGGGATGAGTTATAGTCGTTGGAAGCTTTAAAAATTTTCAATTAAGGCCACATGCACATGAAGTTTTGAAACTTTAGGGATAGTTTTGAAACTTTTATGAAAGTTTCGAAACTATTGTGAAAGCATCAAAACTTCTAAACACACTATTTTTGAAAGTTTCAAACATTGATGTAAGTTTAAAAATCTTACTTAAAAATATGTTTGTTTATGAGTTGAAACAATTTCAAATGGCAAAACTGATAAACTTTATAAAAAAAAATTTAAACTATGAATAGTACCGGTGTGTGAACAATGTCATGAACAATGCCAAATAATGATTAAATATTATTTTTCTTATTTTAAAAGCTTTAAACACTTTTTATACACTTTAAGCATATTTTAATTATGTCATATATATATATATATATATATATCAATTTAGAACACATATTTTTTCAAGTTGTTTTGGACTTTGAATTATTTTTGAAATATTTGATTAAGTCCAAAATCAATTTTACAAATATTTGTTACATCAAAATATAAGTTCAATAATCTCCCCCTTTTTTATATAACAAAACTTCTTTGAAAAATTATTTTTAACAAAAGTTTTCCTTTTAAAAAATATATTTTGAAAAAGAAAATTTATTAAAAAATTAAGCTCCCATTTTTCTCTGAGAAATTTAATTTTTCACTTCTTCTCTTTCTGTTATATAAAAAATAACTCAAACTTTATTGGTTCAAAATAACAATGGAGAGTAAATTAAAGAGAAAATAAAAATTTAAGCACAAAATCATTTGAAAACAAATCTTCTCCTTAATAAGACATTCCA